GCCCATGCACTTCACATTTTAATTGCAGAGAAATTTTTCAATTAATGTGTTTTTATAAATAAGACAAACGTTGCAAGTTCATCACATATGGGTACACATAAGCCCAAAAGACCTAGGAGAACAAGACGAAGAAAGTTCGTATAGAACTCAATGATAGTTCTTGAAATTTCGTATCTATTCAATCTTATTCTAAGGCAAGCAATTAGAAAAAAATAATAATCAGAAGATGAAATAAAATGATGATTTACATTTTCTTAGGTCACATCCAATTTATAAAACGTCTCTTTCTGTATTCTTTTGTCTTGATATAAACATTTTACTCTGAGATTTGTGAGTGTGAGTGTGAATTTGTATAACAGAGAAATATCAAGATCTACGCCCACCCAGCTGGAGACAGACCTATACTCACAAATGAAAACTTATTTTCCTGCTTTTTTTATTGCACCCATTGTTGGGACCACAAGTTTAATGTTACAAGTCCAATCCACTCTCCGCATGATTGAAGAAGAAGATGATTTGATGGTAGTGAGCGCTGTCGGATATCAAGAGCACGTTCAAAGAACAGACGTGCTTTTGAGTATTCTTTGGCGCTGTAATACATCACACAAGTGTTAGAATAGGACACAGCCAAATCAAGATGATTTGATGGTAGAATTTTTAGCCCGATTTCCAGTGCTTCTTTGTAGAATAATAATGCTTTGGAGTGATCGCCAATGTTTTCTTACACCGCTTCCATGTTATTGTATTATTTAGCAATGTCTGGATGGTTGTTACGGAAACTTTTACAATAAATTTCATGTGCTTTTTCGTAAAATGGAAGTGCTTTCAAATAATTATTCATCTGGTAATGCAATCCGCCGGTATTATTATATAATGCTGCTAAATCAGGGTGATCTGGAGGAAGAATATTTTTCGAATTTCATGCCCCTTTTCGTAATATAATAGTGCTTTCGAATACTTCCCTGTATTTTGATACACCGAACCAATGTTGTTGTAGGTAGCAGCTAACCTAGGATCATCGGGAGTAAGATTTTTATGTTGGATTTCAAGTGCTTTTTGATACAACAATAATGCCTTAGAATTGTCGTCGATCACTAGATACACTGAACCCATGTTGTTATAAGAAGTAGCCAATTGGTAATAATATTTAGAAGGAATTCTTTCGTAAATTGCTCCAACGTAATCGCCTTGCATGGCCTTAATCAAACACATTTGACCATAATGGTATGCCACAGCAGTCTCATCGAGTGTTTTCTGATCGAGTAATACTCGAAACACTTCTTCTGCCTTGTAATATTGTCCTAGTGTAATTAAGAATCTAGTCAATCGATACCAACCTCTAGATTTTCCAGTCTCTTCTCTCATTTTTTCTGTGAGAGCATTGAGCAACGGGTCTGTATCACTTGTCAACTCAAGGTTTACTTGCCAAAGTCGATTACTATCATCAAGATTTTTAATCTCAGCGATGCGAAAGACTGTGCATGTCGAAGAGAATCTCTTGTTCTGACTGATAATGACTGCTCATACCAATATGAGCAAAAGTCGCTGTGGAGATAGAAGTATCCACAGTAATTTGAAAGAAGACTCCTATCAAACTAGGATTGTCTTTACTGCTTCCAGCATAGGCAAACGAGATACTTTGATCTTTACTCGTAGATAAGAAATTATTAAATGACATTAGTTCGTCTTTCGTTCTTGTTAATTTGTCAAAGTCCATTTTCGACAAACCTTGACCTCGATAGACAATCAAGGAGACTTGCCGATTATCGAATTGCTTCGAGTGCATTTTAGTGATGTGTTGATGAAGATCGCAGATGAAGAAACCCATCTTAATGATGGTATCAACTTCTTGAATACGAAGCGCTCGGTTAAGCATTGAATACAGAAAGCACTCGTAAGTGTACCACCAGATAGGTGCCTTCTGACGATAATTTTTTTTGAACTTAATGATGTTTTTTAATTCATGATCATTTTCGGCGTAATGAAGACAACAACATGCGGCCATATCTTCGATAGACTGTTCATCATAGTCAATTTTGAACAATATCTCTTTGAGAATTTTCGTGTACATAAACGATTGATCAAGTTCATCTAAGTTTTGTTTAGATGGTTCACTAAAGGGAACAAAACTGACAGAGATTTCATTTCGATCACATCGATTGGCTGTTTCTTGAAGCGATTCACAGATTAGAGTGATATCTGTAAAGACACCCATCACCTTCGGCCATTTTTGCGCCCACTGATCATGTTCTACCTTGTTCTCACAAAAGATGAAGATAGCATTGAGCTGCGGGACATTATGAATAACAGGTACTATAAGTTGACCTAGACTACCAAATAAAAGCAAAAATACTTTTTCATCTATAATTTCGGTAAGCAAGTCGACACATTGATCCGTATCAGTGAATATATCGATGGTATTCACATCTTTTCATAGTAAATTTTTAGAGTTACGAAAATTATCGCTTGATTCATTAATATTCACATGTAAACAAATTAGACGGAAGTTTTGGATAATACGCTGTTCTGCAGATACAGTGCGCAACTGTACGACAGGAACACTAGATGATGTTGTAGCGGCACTATTGGAGGAACTAGGCATTGGCTTGAATTTTTTGAACCCAGACGAAGCCGCGTACGGATTGATAGTTCTTTAAACTAAAGCAACCAACAAATCGATGCTGGCAAAGTCAAAAGAAGTGTTGTTTTATTACAATATATAAAATTTATTTCTTTGTAGATTCTACTTTTGACTTTCGTGATCTTTTATTTTGCAGTTTCTGTTGGAAATTTTTGCTATGAGTAGAAAAAAGAATGAGAAAAAAAGTGTATTGACAACAACATGACGAGAGAACGGCAGAAAAATCAAATGGTAACAAAAGAACAACGACAATAGTCGCCAGAGTATTGTTGATGGTTAACGTGTGAGTGTTGGGCGTCAGTGTAGATGTCCGCATGTGTCTGGACATTTTATGGATGTGAGTGTGGGCTTAGGGTTACCTGGCATCGAAATCCATACCCCTAAATTAATACATATTTCTTCATTTCTTTTTAAAGCTTTATTTCTTATTTGTAAACTTCAATGTGAATGGAATAGATTGTGTGTGATTTTGTTCATTTAATAAAAATGCCTGAAAAACTCGGTTTAATGGGTTGGCATTCCAGTAATTTCAAAATAGATTAGCCATTGAAGAATGCTTAAGGAAGTTAAAGTGCAAATCTTTTGTTTTATTTGTTTATTTTGCAATACTTTGACTTTGGATCATGATACAATAATGCCATAGGTATACAATAGAAATATCGTCGTATCTTGAACTACTTCTATTTTATTAGAGTGAAGATTTGATGTACTCTCAAATGCCCGAGTCAAAACATTGAACAGAGACAGAGAAAAGCTGAAAATACCATCAAGATGTGAAAAAAGTCATTTTTTCAAATTTTTATAGTCTAACCACAAGAAATCGATGATTGTAGTGTTCGGCATATTCCATGAGTATGCCAAAAAACCGTAATATTTGGATTTATAGGTTTCTCTATACGATCTTTCGTTTGCGCTAGAAAAAAAATCAGAAAAAGACATTTACCGACGGCCTGCTTGATTAATGGTCTGGCGGACACCCTCTTAAGATTTTTTTCGTTGACAAAAAAATAAAACTTTATTCATGATAAAGAGACCAGAACATATCAAATTTTCGTATATGCATTGAAAGAAGATAGTTTCTACTTACGTTAGCTATATAAATCGTTAGAACTTTCTTGATTCTTGTCTTCGAACAGAATTATAAGGAACAATGTTGTCCTGCAACTTTTTTCAATCATTTTACTGCTAAAAAGGCAGTCGTGACAGACGAAATAATAAGTCAGTTTTCTTATGATAGATCTAAAAATTTGGATAACTCATTTTTGTACATCTCATTGAAGTCTCGATTAAATATACAAACATCATCTACACTATGTGATCATGCTATAGTAGACAATTCATTATTATCTAAATATGCTTGAATCATTTTT